TCTATCTATCTATCTATCTATCTATCTATCTATCTATCTATCTATCTTATCTATCTTACCTATCTTACCTATCCTACGTATCTTACCTATCTTACCTCTGGTCTTATCTGCCTCCAGCCCAGCCATAATGTGGCTTATCTAAAGGCCTGAAAGATGGGGCACCTAGCGCTACCCAGCTTTCCAGTTCTTTCAGTTCCCTTCTTAGGGCTTCCTGAGACACGGTGGCCAGGACCTGTGCAGAGCTCTTACAGAGGGGATTCTCACAACCTCCATTCCTCGTGAGCAGCTGAGGTGAGTGACCCCCAAGATAGGCCTGTGGGCCCTGGGCATTGCCTTTCCAGGCAGCCAAAAGAATTCCCAGGCTGAGACTGAGCTGAGAGCTGGCCACCATGATGGGGGCAGGGAAGGAGAAGGGAGCATGGGTGAGCAGATGCCTGGGCCAGCCAGAAGGGACTTAGGGGAAGGTAGCCAGATGTAGGATAGGGAAGTGGAGACCAGAAGGCTTGTGAGGGCAGTCCTGGCCCCAGGAGGAAAACAGAGGAGCCTGAAGAAAGAGGAAGGAGTTGCAGAGTGATTGATGGAAGGGGAGAGGGAGAAGGATTTGGAGGTAAGAGTGCGGGAAGGGTCTGGTGTGGTGGGGACAAAGAGCTGCTGCTCAGTAGGAAAAGGGAAGGACCGGCTGTATCAGGTTGGATTTGGTAATGAGCCTATGGAGGGTCCTGCAGGGGAGCTGGGGGCGGGGGTACAGGGGCCAACTGCAGACCAGGAGAGGGTGAAGAGGAAAGTGGGTGGGGGAGAGGCCCCAGGTAGAGTTTTGGGATTCATTTTATTTTTCCAAGAGTAAGAGGACCTTTCAGATGGTGACCAGTAACTGGTGAGACAGGACCTGGGGGTGGAGGGCTATCCAGGGCACCTACCCCCAAGCCACTCTTGCATTCCATCCTTTCTCTTTCGTTTTCTTCTGAGGCAGAGTTATCACTATCTCATTGGGAAATGGTTGGTAGGAGTACCCATCCCACTACCTTGCAGAACACAGCAAGGGAGGGAGGCCCAGGAGTCAGAGCCAAGGGAAGAAGTAATCATGGGGGTTGGTAATGTGGGGTCTGGCAGCCATGCCTCTTATCTTTTCCTGGGTCCTCTGTTCATCAACACTGTGGGGGTCTGGCTGGAAGATGGTGGGCCTGCCTTCCTACCCCTCAGGCCCTTCTGAGCAAAGGGGCAACTCTGCTGTGGGAGAAAACAGACCTCACTCTTACTTTCCTTTTGGGATAAACACTGTTCCATCTTTCTTCCAGAAGGTTCTATGAAGGGCGGAGGAGAATCTAGCATTCGTGATGGTTACCCTCCTTAGTGTATAGTGACCACCTCACATTCTAGAAACAGGGAAGTCAAATAATTCCAAGTCCTGATTGTTCTAGAACCTTTGGATCTTCATTGACCCCAGGCTGCCAAAGGGAGATTTAAAAACCTGAACCAATATCTCCCTTCCCCAAACTGAAACTGGCTTCTTTGTCTCCAGTTGGTCCAGGCACAATGTCCAGCCTATTTGAGGAAATCACGAGTTGTGGTCCAAGAGATGGAGCTGGAGGGGATATGATTGCTGTCAGAAGCATCCTTGACTCTGACAGATTTCACTGCTTCTCTTTGGTGAGTGGGAGGAGGAATTTCCGGAGATGCCAGTACCACAGGACAGACCTCACCCTAGAGGACATAGTGGAGAGAGAGGAGGGTGAAGTGCTGTTTGATAAGCTGGATTCTGGGCTCCAAGGTCAGTACGAGGGGGTAAGAGATGGCCAGCCAGGAGACTTCACCCACTCCTGCTCTACCACACTGTCAACTCCCCATTGCCATCAACCATGTCAGCCAGTCAACAAAGAACTTGTATGTACTAGAATTTGTTTGCATATGTCCACACACCTCAGTTTAAGAAATGCACAAAAGATGTTAACTGGAATTTAAATGAAAACTTGAAAAAAAAAAATGCACAGAAGAGCTGCATGGGGAGAAAGAACAGGGTAAGTGAAAATTTATTTTTATTGAAAATTATTCCTAAATTGTCTTCCTTTCCCATGTTTTCTTTTTGTAAATAATTCACTTTTAAGTTAGCTAAGGTCTTTTGATGTGTTTGTATGTTTATCAGTTAGATGGATAAATAAACGGAGGCAGTTTGCTTAGTGGTTAGGAAAGGACACAGGCCTAAGAGCTGAGGGCACCTCGTTTCTAAGCCTGGCTCTGCCACTCACCAGCTGGGCGGCCTCTGGACAAGTTGCCTTCTCTCTCTCTAAGTCTGTTTCCTCAGCTGTCAACTTGACAAGAATGTTACAAGACTCAAATGATATAAATTAGGTCATTTATGACAGTGGTTGTGCAGAAGGAGCATTCAGTCAAAGTTCAGCCCCATCATTCTGCTGGCGGCTGTTATCCCTCGTGTCCCTTGGAGATCAGACTGGATGGGTGAGCAGAACTCCCTAAAGGCTTGAGGGATTTCTAGAGGAGTCTATTCCATTCCCCTGCCTCCAAACTCAGACTTTTGGGTTGCAGAAGCACCAGGGTAAATGTTGCTGAACCCTCGCCTGGAGACTTATTTCAGTGTCTCAGACCTCAGGGTAAGGACTTTTACAGCTCAGACGTCTTTGCTACAGCCCATCTGGATCTCATTAAGAAAAGAATGCAAACAGTACCAGTGTATAGTTTTAGAGCACCTGCTATGTGCCAGGCATAGCCGTTATGTGACCAAGAGCAGCGTCCAGATTACTTGGGCCTTTCCACAAGTGGTTTCATTAAGTGAGCAAGGGGCTTCAGGAAAATTTCAGATGATCATTTTTCAAAGACTGAGTCAATTCTCTGAAAAGTAAATCGCTAAGAGCCAATTTACTAAAAGCTAGTCTCCAAAAACCAGTTTGCCAGATGACCAGTTCACTGAAAACAGAAAAAAACTTTAGGACTAGGGTGTTTTGCCATGATATTACTCCCCAGGGACAGGGGGAAAAGTGTTAAGTACAGAAAAAAAATTGACACGTTAACTTCCTTGAAGGGAAAGTCTGTCTGTTTGCATAAACAAATCAGGGACAGAGGTGAAACCAAACTTTGAAAAAAATCCTTAAGAATGAAGTGGATGGGTAATTTGAATTGATTTTTAGCAACTTGGCCTGCTTCCTTCTCAAATTGATTATTTTTTAATTATATGGTGCTGATGATGTGGTTAAGGTGGCATAGGTTTTTGTTTTGTTTTGTTTTCCATTAACTAAAGTCCATATACTTTATTCTGATTATCTTGGTTCTTACCTAATATCCTTTCTCTGTTCCAAGATCTCATTCAGGATACCACATTACCTTTAGTTGTTGTATCTCCTGAGGCTTCTCTTGGCTCTGACAGTTTCTCAGACTTTCCTTATTTTTGATGATCTTGACAGTTTTGACGAGTACTGGTCAGGCATATTATAGGATGCTTGTCTATTGGAATTTGCTTGACTTTTTTTCCTCATGGTTAGACTGAAGTAATGGGTTTTGGAGAGGAAGACCATCGAGGTAAGGTACTATTCTCACTGCATCATATCAAGGGTATGTGCTATCAACATGACTTATCACTGTCAATGTTGACCTTGGTCACCTGGCTGAGGTGGTGTTTGTCAAGTTTCTCTACTGTAAAGTTAGCACGCCCCTCCACCCACCCCCATATATTACATTGTTTTTGTGCTTAAGGCTTGATTTTTCTTTTGTCCTGGATAAAGTACATGTACCCTTTTACATTGATCAAAAAACAAATGGATCCTAGAATGTTAGTGTAACCCATACAGGACTGATTTGAGGCACCATTTCCGGTTCTGTCACGTTTCCGTCAGTTACAAAATGTGTTTGTCTCTGGAGATCCAGCCCTGCCCGACCCCCTAAACCTGGCTGTATGAGTTCCTCCTCGTCTGTAGGTTCACATTTGGGAGGTCTGAGAGAAAGGCAGTCAGCTGGCAGCATCTCCACACATGCTCCGCTAACCCCGGCACACCAGCTGACTTGGAATCAAGGCCCTTATGAAAGTGGCTGATCAGTCTGGGCAGAGTCCACACGGATAGGCGGTGGTCCAGGATTGCTTCACTTTACACCTGCGTGGTTCATACAAACACCGGAGACTGAAGTCTGCTTAATTTTTATTTCTCAATTGGCAAGAGCTCCTAATTCTTTAGCTTTACTTTTCCTTGGCTCATTTCAGCCTCTCAGATAGTTAAATAGGACTAGCTCACATTTATTGAGCATTTAGTATGTGTGCAAGGCATTTTGCTAAGTGCCTAACTGCATCTTTTATTTAATTTCTTCAAGCACAGGAAGTAGGTACTATCAATATTCTCCTTCCATGAATAAAGAAACAGATTCAAAGAGGTTAAGTGACTTATCTAAGGTCATTTGGTAAGAAGGTGGCAGAATAGGTGCAAACCTGGGATTATGTGACCCTTGTGGTGACTCCTGATGAGCACAGCATTTCCTGGGAGCCACAGTTGGAGGATCTCTGCAGAAGGGAAGGGGATTGTAGAGGGGGAGCCTAGGATGGGGCTGCTCCGGGGAGAATTTTCTGCAGAGAGATCTTTTGGGGCAGCCTCAGTATGACCTTTACCCTTTCCAGGCCAAAAGGCTGAGTTCCAAGTTCTGGATGTGGTAGACTCAAAAGGAATGTTGATAGTGAAATTATCCAAAGAAATAATAATTGCAGGGACCTTCCACAGATCCCACAAGCAGAGAATCAAGACATTGGAGACCTGGATACCCAGCAGTATCTGGATTCCCTTGAGAACAGGTGAGGCTGGAGATGGGCAGCAGTGGGGAGTGAGAGGGGGAGATGCCCCTTTTGAGCACCAAGAGCATCTGAGATGGAGGTGCCCCGGCCAGTGCAGTCCCTCACGCCCAATTCCCGGCACTTCCCAAGCCCGTTCCTTACTCAAGCGTGGCCTCCTCTTCCCCCTTCGGAAAGCCTTCTCATTCTTCATGCATCAGCCTCCAGGAAACCCTCCAACACCCCCAGCTCACTTGCTTCCCTGCTACCCTCCAGGGTGATTGATTCTTCTGGCTTGGACCCAAACCTGCTGGTTTCAAGAGGCCACTTTCTGCTCTCCTATGAGTTGCCAAGATCTGTGTTTTGTGCTGTTTTGCTCTGCCTTGTGGCAAGCCATGCCCCTGTTCCTCAGTGGACTGGGAATAGCTTGTGACCGCAACAGCTTTTACTAACCTCTCTGTGTTTATCCACAGCACACAGTAGGTGCTCACTAAGAGAGTCAAAGTGAAGCACAATGAAATCACAGCACCCCTGTAGAACATTTCCTGCACAGAAAGTGCCACAACTCCACCCCATCAGGGGGGCACTAACCAACTACCACAGAGTTTCTGACGGTTGAGGGCATGGTGCTTCCAAGGGACTTACAGGGACATCACCAGCTTTCTCCCTCAGCGGACATTTTATTGTTGGTGTGGGTGTTTTCTCCCCTAGCTGAAATTGTTGGAGAGTGTGGAGCAGCTTAGTGGAGGGGACTCAACCTTTCTCCTGGCCTAGCCCTCCTTGAGTGAAATGCCTTTTGTTTTTCCTTTTTTTTTTAATTTTTATTTTCAACGTTTATTTATTTTTGGGACAGAGAGAGACAGAGCATGAATGGGGGAGGGGCAGAGAGAGAGGGAGACCCAGAATCGGAAACAGGCTCCAGGCTCTGAGCCATCAGCCCAGAGCCTGACGCGGGGCTCAAACTCACGGACCGCGAGATCGTGACCTGGCTGAAGTCGGACGCTCAACCGACTGCGCCACCCAGGCGCCCCTGTTTTTCCTTTTTAGCTAAAAAGTGAAAGGCTTCCACTGAAATTTTACTGGTCCTTTGAACTACCCCTCCCTACCATAGTGTTGCTGGGGAGGGGTCTTTGGAGTTTTTCAAAGGGAGCTCAATTTTTTCTAGAATGCCTGTTGTTTCTAGTATGAGGCCCTGTGGTGTGTGCATATAGAGTGGGGTTGGGGAGGGTATTAGATAGGTAGAGGGAGGTCAGCAGAGGCAAGGATGTAGGTCTTCCTTGAGGGTTGTTTGCAAATACCAGAAGTTCCATCAGGCTATTTTAGTGACAAAATACATTCATTTCCTTATGGAATCAGAGATGCCTTCTGGAGCCCAAGGCTGTGGACAATGTGGCCAGGTCCCAGGGACCAGTATGAGGAACTGGAACCCCAACTCCCGAGAACTGGGTGTGATGATCTGGGAAGATGCCTGTCTCAGTGCCATGGGAAGGGCTCATGCTTTGGACTCCTACCGACTAGGATTTGAATTTCAACTCTACACTCATTAGCTGTGTGACCTTGGACCATTCACAACCTGTCTCTAGGCCTTAGTTTCCTCATGATAATGGGTGCAATTCTGCCTACACCATAAGTTTGTGGTGAGGGGTGAAATGAAATGCCATGTGAAGTATCTCATGGTGCTGGCACATTGTAGCCTTCCACAGATGCTAGTGAGTTCTCTTCCCACTTCCCACTTCCTTGCTCCCACAGTGGGTAAAGTGACTACGATGGGGTGCCATGTTCTTTGGTTTTCCAGCCCCAGAGACCCTTCATCTCAAATAGGAACTAGCTGATGGAGAGGGAGAAATGTCACTCCTGGGAGCCCGAGCTCTATTCCCCTCTATTCCCTCCAGTGAGTTGAAGAGAAAACTACCTACTTTGTTGCAATCAATCTGGAGAAATGAGAGCAGACCTCTATCTGGTGACAGAGACTCTGGAGACAACAAGGAAGGAAACCCTGAAAACTGAATGGCAGTGTATGCTGCGGAGCTGGATGGGAGGCAGGGTCTGTGAGAGAACCCGCCTTGGCCCACCCATGGTAAGTCAGGGAGATACCAGCCCAGATGTCAGGCTCTTCAGCTCTCCTTCCAGACCTCCCTGAGCAGTCTCAACTGCTTCCTGGACTTCTTATGACTTCTCATCTTGCCCCAAGAAAGTGCCTGTGGCATTGCTAAGTCCTTCCCGTCACTCTCTAGTAATGCCCTGTTCTTATTTGCTTCTTAGAATTTCTCGTGGTTCATAATTGCATGGGGATTTTTTGCTTATTCACTGTCTGCCTCCCTTTCCAAGATACAGGAGGCAAGAGCCACAGTGCCTGGAATAAAAAGGTCCTCAATAAACATTTATTGACTCAACAGTGAAAGCAACATGAGTTTGGGGGTCAGATGTGGGTTCTTATTTCAGCTCTGCTACTGGTTTAGCTGTGAAACTGGCTTACCTACTGATCCTCTTTGAGCCTCAGTTCTCTCATCTGTAAAATGGGGATTGTTTGGGAGATCAAGCAAGGTAACTATGTAAAGCACCTAGGGATTAACCAACGTGAACTCCTTTTCCTAGCACCAAAGGTCAGTAACCAACCCCCTAAAGCAGGTCCTGAGCTATTGAGTAAAGCAGCTCATCTTTCCCAACATGGAGAGAATGAGTAAGCAAGGTCTGATGGGGGCAGACTGAGTGCAGGTAGGTTCAGCTAGACTCTGTGTCAGCCTGGAGGGGCCCTGGTGAGCTCGAAGGTGGGGGGAAATTCCAAGGAAGGGGTGGAGGGTTCAGGGCTGGGAAGAAGGACTGAAGCTCCTTGTGCAGACACCCAGGTTTTGCCCCATCATAACGCTAATCCTTCCCTAGCTAGAGGTGTTAAGTCTTATCTCTTTCTGAGCTTGTTTTTTTTTGTTTTGTTTTGTTTTGTTTTGGTGAGGGGCAGGGTATGAGAATGGGGAAAGATATGAAAGAGGAACTTATAGAGAAAGAACTTGTCTTTCTGATAACTGGTTTTCTCACTCTCTCTGGCACTAGCCATTTGTTTCTTGGGTAACACAAAATCCTTTCCAGAAAGAGAATGGCTTTTAGGCCTTCTGTTCATCATTCCAAAAAGGGCAAGGATAGTATTTTTTAAAAGAGGTAACAAATGGCCCAGAATTATAGGGTTATCAGGGTTGAGAATGGAATAGGATGCACCCAGGGGTAGGGACCATGGTGTGAGCAGGAAAAAATCCTGTCTATTGGAGAAGCAGATTGGATTGCATATTGGCCTAGGGTTTCCAGACTCTGACAACTTTGGCCTGCTTTGTGCAGGCTGGTGTGCTGGATCCTGGGGTCCCAGCCCTTACTGAAACCTGGGAAGCATAATTGCATTGCATGTCCAGTTCTCACATGGTAGCACTGGCTGTGAAAGGAGCACTGGAACTAGGAGTAGGAGGGTCTCAGGGTCTAGTGGCTCTGCCACTCACTGGCTCTGTAGCCTCTGGAGCCATGGTTATCCTGATGTTAGCATGACTAGAAGATCCCTGTGATTCTGAACGTTGCTTCCTCTGGAATTTCATAGTCTTCCTCTGGGTCCCAGAAAGGTTGTACTGCCTAAGAAGACTTGGGAAGGGATAGAAAGAGGTGTAGATGTGGTAGAAAATCCAGAAACTCCCAGAAGTTGTAGAAGTGGGTTTTTCAACCCTGGCAAGGTCTTGCTAGCTCAAGAGTGAATCTCTGTCATGTAAAGTGCTACACCTGGGTGGCTCAGTTGGCTAAGCGTCCAACTTTGGCTCAGGTCACAATCTCACAGCCCATGGGTTTGAGCCCTGCATTGGGTTCTGTGCTGAGAGCTGAGAGCCTGGAGCCTGCTTCGAATTCTGTGTCTCCCTCTCTCTCTGCCCCTCCCCTGCTTGCGCTCTGTCTCTTTCTCTCAAAAATAAGCATTAAAAAAACAATAAAATGCCATAACAGGGCCATCTGGGTGGCTCAGTTGGTTAAACATCTGACTCTTAATTTTGGTTCAGGTCATGATTTCATGGTTTGTGAGACTGAGCTCTGTGTTGGGCTCTGTGCTGAGTGTGTGGCATGCTTGGGATTCTCTTTCTCCCTCTCTCTGCCTCTCCCCCTGCTCACACGTGCTCTCTCTCTCTCAAATAATTAATTAATTAATTAAACAAACAAATAAATTGCCATAACAGAGGAGGCAGGAGGTAGATTCCAATCCCTGCTCTGACCCACATTTGCTGAGTGACTGAGGACCTGTTGTACCCTCTCTGGGGTTCCGTTTCTTCTTCACTTATCTAGGCGTAATCCTATGGTTGTCTGTATCTGAGGATGTAGGAAGGTGTTTGCGTATATAGTGCTTTGTCATTTACATGAAATGATAAGGATACAGTCTCCCTGGCATGAGCAGTGAGGGCTCAGAGTCCAGGAATGAAAACTCCCACCATTGGGAAGAGAATGTCCAGAGAGGGCTGGAGGTGACCTGAAGACTTTCTGAAATTATTCTTCCCTTCTTTTCAGAGGAAGATGGTTCATCTTGCTTAAGTAAAGATTGGAGCTAGCTGTGTTCAGTGTAGCTGCACACTCACCCTTGAGCCTCCTGGCTTCAAGGACTTCAGCTCAGGTGGGAGAGCCTAGTATATGTGTATGGTGGAGGAGTTGGGGAGAGAAGGGTAGGGCAGTGCCCAAAGCAGTCTTCACCTTTAGTCTGGAGGTTGCATCTGTCTCCTTAAACACAGTGGTTCTCATTGATTATATGTAGACATCACCTGGGGGAACTTTAAAACTAGTGATGCCTGAGTCCCACCTCCAGAAATTCTGATTTAAGTTATCTGGGGATGTGGCCTGGGCATCAGGATTTTTAATCACTCCCCAGGTAATTCTCATGCACAAAGTTGAGAACCACTGCTCTAACTTTGTCTAAATCCTCACTACTACTAGCGTGGTCCAGAAACTGCACTTTGAATGGCAAGGACTAAGTAAGTTTTGATTTATTGGAGGTGGAAAAGAATTTGGGATTGGTACTCAACTGGGGTTGAGCTGGGAAGGTGAAGGTGAGGTTGGCAGGAGGCAATGATGATGGGTATCTGGGAAGAAGGGTGCTTTACTTTAACTGGAAAAGATTAGAAGGGAAGCAATAGAGAAGTGGTCTCATGAAGAATGGGGTCGACAGAGGCCTTGGTAATAATGGAGCTTGTTGGCTGGGTAGGTTGGGTTCTTAACTGCTGCCTCTACAGGGAAATCCTTGAGTTTGGAGGACTTCAGAAACATGAAGGAGAAGGTGCAGGACATGCTGAGAGGCCTCTAGGATCTGACTGACTGTGCTAAACTGCCTCACTAAGCACCTCAACAAGGAGGGGCAGCGACAGAATCTAGAACAAAGAGTAAGGGACCCAGGAAAGAATTGGAGCAGAGAGAGGGAGGAACCAGCAGGAAGGGTACCGTACTGAAGACAGTCTGCTATAGTGGGACTGACACTCATCTCCCCCATCTCCTGGCCCTCGGTGTCTGAGGCCCTGATCTCTGGTGACCTGGAGGGTCCAGCAGATCCTCTTGTAAGTAGCCTTTTTAATGCTTTTTAATGCTGCTGGGATCTTGGTAAAAACACATACAGAATCTATTCCGAATGTCCTGGATGCCTTGATTGGTGAGGAGGGATTTGGAAGTATGCTGGTGTGGAGGAATTGTGGAGCAAAGGGGTCTGTGGGGGTTCAAATCCTGGGAGGAAGGTGACATACATTGCCTTTTACATTTCATGAAGGATAGACTTTCACACTTTAGGAACTAGTCATTTTCCCCAGGCCAGGGGTTGGGGGATGCCTCCTCTACCCGCCTGGCAAGTCTGACCTCCTGCAAGCTAAGAGGGAAGAAAGATTCACCACAAGAGCCCATTTGGAATAACTCTCATCTATCATTGCTAGGGGCTCTCTGGAACCTCCTTCTGATGTTTGTCCCAGGTCTGATGAAATACTGAAGCCCTGTCCCTCTCTGCCAGCAACCCTCTTGACCCTATTTTTTGCCCTGAGATATCTTAGGAGCAGCATCTTGTGGCTGAGGCCCTGGAAAAGGGGACCCTGTCCCTGTTGAAAGACCAGATAAGACACCCTGGACTGAGGGCTAGGGTCATAGTAGAAGTGAATGCCTGTGTTCTCAAGGGACTCAGAAGTCCCAGGGTACAGTCCTTCCTACTTCGTAGTTCTCTGTCAGTTTATATCTATTCAGCTGGTTTGTGGCAATTCCCTGGAACACATGGTTTCCAGGACAACTCAGGCTTAATAGGCTCTGTTGCTAGCCTATGGGTAAGAGAGGGGGGTGGAAAACTGTTAGTTTCAGGATGGCAGTGCCAACGCTGATTAGCAGTGCCTGTCACTGTGTTGAGAAAGAATGAGGCTCTCCAGGCCCCGCAGGAAAAAGTGCCATTATGGATTATTACATCTGCCATGGCCCAGGATTAAGAAGTGTGGTGAAATATTTGCCATTTCTGGTATGTTTCCTTGTTCCTAGCTTTTATAGTCTGGTGTGTTTCCTTCTAGGTGGAGTCTGTCCTGGAGCAGAACTGAGGTGAGCAGCCCCACGATGTGGGCTGTGACCCTGATGCAAGATTTCTCTGTGCCCTCCGTGTTGCTGTCTCCGTCCTGCTGCAGCTGGGTGAGAAGCCTATCTTAGTGTCTTCCTAACTATGTTAGCTCTTGAACCATCTGGATGCTCCCCTCCCAGACCGTCCTCTCCCCCTGCACCCCCAATCACTAGAACAATGTCTTTATAACAAACAACTGACTTTTCTTTGATAGATCCCATTCCCTTCATGATAATGCCCCCAAATCAGCCTACATTATATGCATGGACTTTTCTAAGAGTGGCAGATTGATCATATTAATTTTCTCTCCTTGAAATCTCACTAAATAAAGTACTAGAAAAGATGTAAACCCACAATGATAAAGAGAACAAGGCAGCAGATAAGAGATTCTGACACATCTTTGGAAACTAGCAGGTTACTAAAGGAGTTTAAGCCGGGAGGTGTGGGCCTGAGATGTGCTGGAAGTGTAGGAGGAGACTGCTCTTCTCTCATCTTGAGGCTTTTCTCTTTAATATTTTTAAGACAAGGTAATTAAAAGTAAAAGAAATATATGCTTGTAAAGCATTTCAAATATTTCTCAAAGTTGAAGGCGATCTCCCCTTCTTTCTCTAATATAACCACTGTTAACATTTTGGGGTATGTTAACAGTCTTCCTATGAAACAGTGTTTAAAATGGTAATTTAGGAGCTTATGGGTGGCTCATTCAGTTAAGTGTCCAACTCTTGATTTTGGTTCAGGTTGTGATCTCATGGTTTGTGGGTTCGAGCCCTACATCGGGCTCTGCACTGATAGTGTGGAGCCTGCTTGGGATTCTCTCTCTCCCTCTCTCTCTCTGCCCCTACCCCACTCATGGGCATGCTCCCTCTCTTAAAATAAATAAATAAACCTCAAAATATGGTAATTTAAACATGAAAGTAGGATGATATAACAAATTTGTTTTCTATTTTTTGCACTAGAGTTGTTTTTTCTTTTAAATTTGTAAAAATATCATATGCAACAAGAATTCTTGTAGATGCTGTTGGGAGTGTAGATTGGTCAACCACTTTAGAAAACTGACATATCTACTAAACACAAGCCTATGAGCTGGCGACTCCACTTTCTAGGCACGTACCCAAGAGAAATGAGTGCATGTCTTCACCAAAAGACATACATTTACAAAAACATTAGCATAAGAGCCCCAAGCTGAAAACTACTCAAATGTCCAATAACTTTAGGATGGATATGTATACTGTGCCATATTTATGCAATAAGAGAGAACAAATTACTGCTATACATAACAGTATGCATGACTTTCACAGACAATGCTGAGCAAATGAAGTCAGACACAAAAGAACATATTTATATTTGGGTCCTCTGAGAAGCAGGTGCCAAACTAGAATTAGACATGCCAAAGTCTTTTTAAGGGAAGAGCCTGTGAAGAATAAAGGGAGAGGAATGACAAGTCTTCAGTGCAGGTTTAAAACCTGTGAAGGGAGAGAAGGAGGGAAGAATCGAGTAGGAAGAGTCTCAGAATGCAGGGCAGTTTTGAGAGTCTCAGTCAAGTTGACTTCAGCAAAGGTTGTCTACTGGAGGAGCCCCCACCAGGCAGAAATGGCCAGGCTCTAGTATCCCTACCATGCTCAGCCTTTGGCTGGAAGCAGCCCAGGGGAGCTTGATCTCAGGAGGTAGATCTACAGGGCAGCAGCTAGAGGTTGTTAGTCAACTCTGCTTCTTGAAGCAGGTTCTCCTAAAGAAAAATCTCAGTGGCATCCTCCATGGCCACCACAATACTGTATGATTCCATTTATATGAGGCTCAAGAGCAGGGAATGCTTAATCAATGGTTGTTGAACTCAAAATAGTGGTTATCTTAGTGGGAATAGTCTTAACTGGAAAGAGGCATGAGGGAATCTCCTGGGGTGCTGGAAATATATAAAGATTCATTGAGCTAACATTTAAGATCAGTATATTTCACTGTATTATTCATCAATAAAAAAAAAAATTGGGGCGCCTGGGTGGCTCAGTCGGTTAAGTGGCCATCTTCGGCTCAGGTCATGATTTCGCGGTCCGTGAGTTCGAGCCCCACATCGGGCTCTGTGCTGACAGCTCAGAGCCTGGAGCCTGTTTCAGATTCTGTGTCTCCCTCTCTCTGACCCTCCCCTGTTCATGCTCTGCCTCTCTCTGTCTCAAAAATAAATAAACATTAAAAAAAATTAAAAGAAAAAAGTTTTTTTTTTTTTTTTAAGTACATAGTGTATAATTCCATATAAATGAAGTGAAAACTGGATGATGGTGGTAGAAGTCCAAATAGTGGGAGCAGTATTGGATAGGAAGGGGCATGAAGGAATCTTCTGAGGCATTGGAAATATTTTATATCTTGATTGGGATAGTGTTTATGTGGATGTTTACCTGTGTAGACATTATTAAGCTATACATTTAAGATCTGGGCACTTTAAGTTTTTTTTTTTTTTTTAACTCCACTTTAAGTATTTTTTTTAACTACAATAAAAATTTTTATTTTATTTTATTTATTTTTTTTTTAATTTTTTTTTCAACGTTTATTTATTTTTGGGACAGAGAGAGACAGAGCATGAACGGGGGAGGGGCAGAGAGAGAGGGAGACACAGAATCGGAAACAGGCTCCAGGCTCTGAGCCATCAGCCCAGATCCTGACGCGGGGCTCGAACTCCCGGACCGCGAGATCGTGACCTGGCTGAAGTCGGACGCTTAACCGACTGCGCCACCCAGGCGCCCCAAAAATTTTTATTTTAAAAACAATATATACACATGAACATACTTGAACAAACAGAAGAATACAAAAAAGTTAAATAAAAATTTCTTCTCAAATTCTTTTACCTTATAAACCTAGTCCCACTTTCTTGAGACAACCACTGTTTTAGTTTTTGTTACTATTACAACTAAAAATGATATTCGTATATTTGTTCTTGATTTATTAACTTTAGATAGTATTTATTGACTTCCCAGTACTACGGATGAATATTGAACAAGAAATACAAAGTAGGAAGAATATTATAAAAAAATCAAAGGTACCTATTAAAGTGTTTAATAAAAGGTGACAGGTGGTCCCCTCTTACCTCCAACATTTTCCCCTTTCCTCTTCCTTAAATTCTGATTCCAGCCACACTAAACTATTGGCCTTTTATTTAAATGTGCCATCTACTTGTACAATCACATGCTATTTTTTAATTTTTTGAAGATTTTTTAGGGGCGCCTAGGTGGCTCCGTCAGTTAAGCATCCGGCTTCAGCTCAGGTCATGATCTCACGGTCTGTGAGTTCGAGCCCCGTGTCGGGCTCTGTGCTGACAGCTTAGAGCCTGGAGCCTGTTTCCGATTCTGTGTCTCCCTCTCTCTCTGCCCCTCCCCTGTTCATGCTCTGTCTCTCTCTGTCTCAAAAATAAATAAAACGTTAAAAAATTTTTTTAAAGATTTTTAAAAAAGTTTTTATTTATTTGAGTAATTTCTATGCCCAATGTGGGGCTTAAACTCATGACCCCTAGATCAAGAGTCACATGTTCTTCTGACTGAGCCAGCCAAGCGCCCCTACGATGATAAGTTTTTTAAAATACAGGTTTCCTGGGGCGCGTGGGTGGCTCAGTTAGTTAAGCATCCAACTCTTGATTTTGGCTCAGGTCTTGATCTCACCCTCATGAGATCAAGCCCCAAATCAGGCTCTGCACAGAGTGTGGAGCCTGCTTGGGATTCTCTTTCTTCCTCTGCCCCTCTGCCCCCTTTTTTTCTCTCTCAAAATAAATAAACATTTTAAAATACAGATTTCACTCTCCCTCTGTGTAGATTACCTTTCTGCACCTTATCTACCCTTTACACTACAGTTCAAATATTCCTTCCTTAGTAGTCATCCTACTTACCCAAAGAATTTGGATAGTTCTGTATGACCCATAACACATTGAATGTATTTCTATTATGGCATTCATCATATTATACTGAAATTATTAGTACACTGTTTCACTAATGTAAAAGTTTCTGGAAAACAGAGTTTAAATCTAACTTTAAATCTTTAAGTCTTTGCTAGGGCTCAGTAAACAATTGTTTTTTTCAGAAGTGCCTTTGAGTTGGAAGAAGTTTGGGAGACACCCAAATTTTATAAGGCTGGCTCAACCTCAGAATTACCAGTTGTCAGTAATAATTTTTTTGTTTTTTAAAATGTATATTTATTTTTGAGAGAGAGAGGGCAGAACATGAGTTGGGGAGGAGCAGAGAGAGAGGGAGACATAGAATCCAAAGCAGACTCCAGGCTCTGACCTGTCAGCACAGAGCCTGATGTGGGGCTCAAACTCACGAACCATGAGATCACAACTTGAGCCAAAGTTGGACTCAACTCACTGAGCCACCCAGGTGCCCCAAGAATTTTTTTCTGTCCTCTCACAGTCTCAGCAAGGGAGTACTTGTCTACTGGGTTAGATTGAACTAACCCAGAAGCTTGAGGTTCATATTTCATCTGCTGATTTCCTTCACCTCACATTTCTGATTCCCATATGAAGTTCAATACATCAACTGCATATGTCTGCAAAAGGAATTTCCTATTCCAGCAGTTAAAACTGGTGATAGAGATGACTTTGAAATGGGGGCAGTTGCAATAGTCATTATTTGAGCTTGGAGAGATGTGGGAGACTCCACTAACTCTTACTTATTCTTCATAACTCTTCGCTTAAGTACTACTCCCTTCTGATACTTCCTGTATCTATCCAGGCTGAGTTAGAGACTTCCAAACATAGTGCACCTACCCTTTTAGGGAAGGAAACCCTTTTGGAGAAATGTTAGTTAAGCCACATGGGTACAAATACGATCCTATGGAGTTGGATGTCTTGGGTAAGGGGGAAAACTACTTTGTAGGAAACAAAATGAGGAATTTATTGATTTTGCTCCTGAGATGTTAGAGAGGGACATTGAAAGGAGAGAGAATGGAGAGACAGGGAAGCACAGGCAAGACAGAGAGAGGCTGAAATTGGGCAAGGTAGTAAAAACTTGTAGATATTACATATGAAAAACATTTAAGAATGGTGATACCAAACATGTTTCTGGTAAATAGTAAGCTAGATTGTTTGCTCCAGCTCTCCCACAGAAAACAATTTTAAATGTTGGATAAGACAATTTAAAAACATTCATAAAAAGCATCTAATTGCTGACAAGAAACTGATAAGAAACTCAAGCCAAAATAATTAAAAAGGAGACCCAGAGAGATAAGTGAAGTATTAGAACACTAATGTAATTTTTCCTCATATGAAGGGGATTTACAAATCCAGGCAAGCTAGGGCTTTGCTT